TATATATATATATATTTACCTAGCTATCTATTAATCGAAAGATTAACCATTCTCTTACGCCTTGGTTTCTAGGATTCACACACAAGCCAGCAGTTGCGGCAGGAATATAAATGAATGCTCGAGCATCCCTTTCAGTCAGACTAATTCAGGAAAGTGAAAGTTACAGCAAAAATATGCAACCCTACAAAGCTTTAAAAAAAAAGAAAGAAAAAACTTAACAAAAGCCGAGCGCTTGGTCCAGTGGCAAAAGTAAAAATAAAGGAAGAACGCACAACAACAACGACAACAACAACAACAACAACAACAGAAAAAAGGACAGAGATGATAAGAATAAAAAACGTGTTTTTACGCCCCCACCGACACAATGATATAAGCTGATTATTTAATTAAGAGTCCGGACCAACTCGTACTGAGAAGGATTTAGCATCCCAGCAGAAAGACCGAGATATTCAATAAAGATTCTCCTCAGGAACTGAACTAGGGTCTCCTACGTGCGACAGCAAAGTACCTACCACTACCAACGACACCACAGACGCCGGTACAGACACAAATTCAATAGATGAATAACCTAACTTCCAGGTACGTCTAAGCAGGGGCGCAGTGTGTATAAGACAAATTATATGGAACTGAACAAAAGGGAGAAAATGAGTAGATTATTATCATTGAACGATGAATGAACAAACAAACAGAAAGTATCGACCAGCTCAATCTTCATTACTAATAGACTAATACTATACACCTAATAGATCTAATATCACTATTAGGCCCTTCCATCATGTATACAAAACAACGGATGCAGCCATCTATTAAGAAATTAGGAACTGGCCATTGGAGGAGCATGAATAAAACATTGAGGGCGTGTGGATAGAGAAACAGGAGGTATCGATGTGCTATGTCTTCGTTCACTCGCTACCTTAGAATTGCCAAATTCTAGCTAACAATTTTGGCCGTTTTGAGTTACTGAGCTCATGCAGTCAGAAACCTAACGCTCTATCTGCTCTATCAAAATTGTAAGATTATTTGGAATCGTTACCAAGATATTCAAAGAATTGCATTCGAGACAGCTTGACATGGGGAACACAAAGGTTTTAACGTCAAATTTCTCAAAGCTGGGCGCTGAGCAGATAGAGCTTTAAAATTCTACGGTAGCGTGCTGTCATCATTGTTACTAGCATGTTCTCACTGCAGGGCTATTCCATGGCAACTGGCGGGACAGAAAAATACATTTGTCTCGTCAGCTACCGAAACTAAACACGTCACAGACTTTGCACAAAGCACCTTTTTTATGACTACATTTAATATGATTCTTAATATAATGTCTTCCAAAAGTTCTGATCATTTAAAGTTGAAATACCCCCAGGGGAGGCGCCACTGACTGAAGTGTCTTTAGGCTATTCCCAAAGGGGGGACATTTCTCGTTCTAATGCACAATAGAATTGTAAATGGGCTGATTCAACAATGAATGCTCATAAATGTGCCTGAACCACAACAGGGAACTGCTGCCTTTTCTTTCCTAATCCTTACTATCGTCATTTTCCTCTTCTTCTTTTATTTTGTATGTTAGTCATTCTTGTGACCCGCTATTTCCAGGGTGCCTTGATAGTCGAAGCAGACTTCGTGCTGTTGAAGCTAGAGAAGTGAGCAGAGTAAGTCCGATTCCCTGAAAGGACTTCTCTGTTAACATCCACCCCTTGGCGCTCATATGACCTTATGCAATTGCGAGCGCCGTAAAACCTCTACCAAAACAAACAATAAAGTTGAAATAAATAAACTGATATTGAATTACAGTGTTTATCGTGGTAAGAAAATGTAGTCCACATGTCCCGTCAGTTACCGAGGAATGGCCCGGCAATGGGGGCAGCATCAATTAACTCACCGTCTGGTCCTTCCACAACTCTTAAAGACGACCTGTTTTCGGAACTCTTTTAACTAAAAAAAAAAAAAAGAAGCATAACGTGGCCTTACTTATCCATACAGATTCTTCAATTCTGTTACCTGTATCAGAAGCTTAAAAAAGGTAGGTAACAACACGCATACTATGAAACATGCACATTCGTGTTTCTGATGTGTGTATTGTGGCTAGAAATTACTAGAAACGTGCCGCAAAATTGTCTTTGGTTTGCTGCTGTAGATCGCACGGATACAATACGTGAACTATGTGACAGCTACATCCCTATAGAGTTAAAGAAATGAGGATTTGGCCACTGGTGGAACATGAATAAACCATTGAACAGTCCGTGGACACCGAGATACATGTAGTATTAGGTATCGACCTGCTATGTCGTCCTTATACTGCCGTCCCAATTACATTATACATTGAATTGACTGTTATAGATGCAGCATCTATAAAAGAAATGCGGAGCAGACCATTGGAGGAGGATGAATACAAAACTTAGGGTGTGTGGACAGACAGAAAGGACGTATAGGCCCCCTATTTTTTTCTTTATTATACCAAAATGTACTGAATTTATTGCAGTGGATGCAACATCTATTAAAGAAATGCGGAACCGAACACTGATGGCACATGAATAAAATACGTAAGGCATGTGGACAAGCAAACAGGATGTGTCGATCCCCTGTCTTTAAATTTATACATGTACTTTCGTCATTATCACCATCATGTATGGAATTTATTGCAGTGGATGCAGCACCCGTTAAAGAAATGCAGAAGTGAACATTGGTGGCACATGAATTACCATTGAAAGCGTTTGGACAGACAGACAGACAGACAGACAGACAGACAGACAGACAGACAGACAGACAGACAGACAGACAGACAGACAGACAGACAGACAGACAGGAAGTTTAGTTTTAGTAAGTTTTGCGGCACTTGCAACACAATAAGGTCATATAAGTGCCGAAGAATAGAGGTGTTACAAGAGAATATATATATATATATTGGTGGAATCAGGCTCTCGTCAAAATAATCAAAGTGAAGAAACTTGCATTTTCCGCAGGTTTGTGAATTTTTATTACATTTTTGGTTTTTGGCTCAACACCTTTCATGCCCATTAAAGAACTCATTTCTGCATGGATTTTTCTGAAAAACGTTGATTAAAGACACAGAAAATGTTAATTTTCAGTTACCATGGATTCTTAACCTAAGAAAATAACTAACCTTTAGCGGCCATTTTCTCACTAATTTTACCTCTGAAAACAGGTGACCCCATCTCCTTCTTTCGGAATTATCTCGACTTGTATTCAAGATAAAAGGATACTTTTTTCGTCCAAATAAAAACAAGTGAACAAGCTTTAAGATGGTACTAATAACTCTACATGCCCAAAAAGTGACGAGAGCCTGATTCCACCACGCTGCCTCACATATGTTTTAATAGGAAAGAAGAAGCAAACCACACCAGAGCGCCAGCCAACCATCCACTCAAAACAGGAAGGCATCGACCCGTTATGTCTTCGTTATATTGCCGTCACAAACACCATCATGTATTGAATTTATTGCAATGGATGCAGTGACTAATAAAGAACCACGGAATTAAATATTGGTGAAACATGAATAAACCATTGAAAGTGTTTGGACAGACAAATAGGATCCCAGTTTAGTAAGAGTTTTACGACACTTGCAACACAAAAGGGTCATATAAGTGCCGAAGAACAGATTATGTGTTACAAGAGAGTAACATACACACAAAAAGGAGAAGAAGAGATAAGGACGACAGATTTTATATAGCGAAGAAGGAGCAAACCACACCAGAGCACCCGCTAACCACCCACAAATAGGATCCACTCAGCCTTTGTTAGAGGCCTATGGCGTCACTGTTACCCTCATGTTCTGACTGCAAAGATAATAAATATTATACGCCTCCTTTGACATGATTTAGGAGAAAGGCTGTCCTAACCCAACCTGAAAGGGTCAGCCTGAGCTGAAAGGCATGCAACATCACAGCAGACAGATGGAGATACTCATTACAAACACTTCCCCACACG